TCACACCATGTCTGTTGTACTTTCTAGAACTATTGATGCTTCAGCTCATACTGGTATCTTTGGTCTCCCGGAGCATTACAGTCAATACTCCGTAAGAGAGTAGGAAGTGATAGCTTTTACCTCTGTGATCGCGAGGCGTCACCTTCTTCTTAACTGGAAATCAACTATAGCCCCCTCCAGCACAATGTGGATAAATGAAGTCATGTCCTTTTTGAAGGTGGAGAAAATTAGATATTCAAAAACTGGAAACTTGAACAAATTCTACTTTAAATGGCAACCATTTATTGAGTTTGTTGCTTCAATGTAGAAATTTAAACCCCCCTGCGCATCAATCACCTCTTTTTTATTTATGTATTTACTTATTTTATTTATTTATTATTTTTTCCTAATTTAATTAATTTTTTATTTATTTTTTCTTTTTCCAGTTTTTCTTTTTCCTCCGGAGGCATATATGCGTGTGTACGTGTATGTGTTTTTTCACTACCAATTCTCTTTCACTATGTTTTACTATTGGAGGTGTTCTGTATGTGTTCTTTGTTCCAGAAAACATGTATCGCCTAGGAACTGCAGGTGAAAAATTGGCATTCTTATTTACAGAAGTGCTACTGTATGTTTTGTTCCTGTAATAAATAAATATATATATGTATAAAAAAAGAAATGTATTTACTACTGTTCTTACTTACTTATATCCTTATTTTACCTTTTCGCGTTAAAAGTGATTTAAAGTCTGCTGACGTGCATTAAAAGATTGTTTTTGGCAATAAAGCACCTGATAAGGTTTAGATCCAACACAGTGCAGAAATGCAATGTCAGCATTAATGGAAATTATTACGAGTTTGATATTCCTTGATATAATAAGAAAAATGAAAAAGAGCTGATCTCTGGTGTACGCCTTTAGGAAGGAAAAAGCAAAATGGGGTTTCCACCAACATAGATAGGATTGATCCAATCCAATCATTCACATTCAGTACAGTTCAATGTAGAACATCCCAGCAGAAATCAGTAGATCACATGATGCCAGTTTGTGTAAAGGTATGTAAGAAAGCCTAAGACAGCCCAGTCAGATGCATCATGTAGTTACACTGAAATGGAAAAACTTAGGCTCAGCATTAGAGACACCGGTACAGGTCTCACTTTAATGCTCTTTTGTCATCTTTACAAATAAAATGAAGGTTTCAAACTGTCACAAACCGTCTCAAAACATTTCTGTCGATGTGTAGGATTAACCAGTTCAGGTTTGGTCAGTCTAAATATTTTAGATTTTTAACTAGAGACGACCAGTCTCATATCAACGTCACATTAGCCCTTTAGCTATTGAGCCATGGTGCATGGCATTATGCAACCTGCCATATTTAATCCAAATATGGTTTATTTTTCTGCTTGGTACCCAAGGTTACGCCACATAAACAATTTTACATGTGGAACTTTCTTCAGTGTTCATGTAACTAAGTGGCTTTAGTGGCCAACTCTGTCAACATAACAGGGAAAGTCATCAAAATAACAAGAAGCACAGTAGCCTTTAATACTGCTCTCTGACCAAAATAAGGAGCTGTAAACATCCCTCATCCTGACAAACAGGTGACCAGACATGGTATGCAGGCATATAAATTTAAGAAATACATCAATGTGTGAAAAAACACAGGGGGAAAAAAAAATCGAAAGAGATGATTGAATATATAAAAATAACAAAATCTGAACTGATTCCATGATGCCTGTGTGTTTAAAAAGACAGATGGTGCAGTTTTATAAGTATCAATTGTTTTTGTAAATTTTATCCTTCACGTAGAAGCTGAAAAGTCTCGGTTTTGTTTTCCATCTTTGCGAAACATTAAGTGCTGACCTTACTGCTCAGGCATAAAACGACGAGAGCACGGAAATACTCAGCGGTGCTGATTTAGAAGAAATCAGATGATTAAAAATAAATAAATACATAAATCAAATGCAATCTGTTGCCGGCCAATAAAATTGTTACAGGATCTCTTTGTTGTAAAATATAAGTAGTCCTGGTGAAAGTTTATTAGCGAGTGTTATTAGTGAACCAGAGTGGAAAACCCTCTGTGGTGTTCATGGTCAAGTTCCCACTCTCCCCCCTCCACTGCCAGCCCCTCACATTTCTCTGTCCTCTCCTTCCCCTCTCCTTCTCTGTACTGTCGGAAAACTAATAAAAACCTGAAGGAGGGCAGATTGCTCACCCTTCTTTGAAAAAAATAAAAAAAGTAATGTCGAGGATTATTCCTGACAGCTGTGCGGTCCTGAGCCCATATCTAAGAAGCCGCCGCCATAGAGGTCGACTCGTACTCTAGCCTTTAAATCAATCACATGTCAAGGCTGTGAATAGCAGACCAATAAGCTCAATTAACACCAAAATACTCTGAATCCGTGCCCTTCTGTCGCCCGTCACCACCTCCCATGCGAGGCCTCTCAGATCAGACATGTGAAGACACCGGCGTATCTATGGTGGGCCCTGAACCCACCACAGATACGTCCCAGCCGCAGCTTCGCAGCGACACGCAGCCCTTCTCAAGCTATAGCCACATAACTTGAGCCTGCACTTGCACACAAACAGCTTGGAGCCTATTTATACATCATGTCCTGGCAGCGCGCATGGGAAAACAAGACCCCGGCACTATCAGCGTATCCAGTGTTGTCTGCCTCCTCTCAGTGTTCTTGCCCCCCCACCCCCCGACTGATGGCGGGCAGGACAGAGACATGAGATAGCTGCTTAGGATAGCTGAAAGATGGCTGCTTTAGATAGCTGGAAATACCAAAACAACTTGATTATGCATTTGGCAAGATGGAGCAGTTGCTGATATTCCACACGCTGCATTCCTCCCCGCCGTTGGCATGTAATTGTGTGCAGTGTCACGTTATCAAACCATTATCAACGAAACAGCAGGATGGTATCCTTTAAGCCTCAGGTCGGCCTGCAGAGCTTTGTGCCTCACTTTGTTGTGAAACGAAAGAGGCCTTAGCCACCGATTTTCATGTGGGTCCCGTTTCAGCTGGTACCCTAAAGAAAACAAGAAAGACGCGGGGAAACAGAACAACACGACAAAATCTGAAGAACTGACAACAACTGATCTGCAAACTTTGATTATTAAAAAAAAACTGCACAAAATTAATGAATAAGGTAAAAAGTTGGAAATGTACAAACCAGTCAAAAGATTAAGATGTAAAACATTTTAGTCTGAAAAATTATTATTTTAAACTGGATTAGCATCTCAATTCTTATACATTGTTGTTTGTTTGACTGCTGTGATACTAATGAAAACTCTAGTCTCAATGAAGTGAAAATACAATTTGAAAGAAATTTGAAAAGAAAAAACGTTCAAATTTGGAGAATTTCTGAAAGTTTAATTGAGGACCTGCAAATTGTGGAATCAAACCAGGTCAGGAATGCAACGCAGAATAAATCAAAACACATCTCAGCATCCACATCCGACTACCTTCTTAACATTTTACTGACCTAGACGTCAGTAAAACTCCAAACAGGCCCAGTTGGGACATTTATTTTTAAAAAATTCCCTCCACTGTTTTGTTTTTTTTCCCCCCAAATCTTTATCTTCCACTGTCTCTGCTATTCAAAGGACCAGAAACGTCGGCTGCCTTTGCAGTGGTCTGACGGACACAAAGTGGTCCAAACGAACCCATTTTATCGGTGTGTGTGTGTGTGAGTGAGTGGTGATATCTGCTGGAGGTGACGGCTGGTGATCGAACCCGGCACAGAGACTCAGTGGGGTTCCTTCCGGTGTTTTCCTGTCTTATCTCCCTTCACAAGATAACATGGCACCAGCGCATTAGATCCTCCACCCTGGCTTCATTTGGGGAGCTTTAGGTGTGAAAACCTGCTGCTCCTCACTCACTCGCTCGCTCTTATTTAATCCACCTGATTGACTGCAATCTTGTTAATGCGAAATACACGTCATTTTTAACTCGCGGTGACTCATTTTGTTCCACAGCCAAGTTAAATAATGAGGTAAGAGAGAGTCTGTGGTCCGTCGTAATTACAACGATGAAGTATGAATCTCTTTTAGGTCACCCAGCATTTGTAGTGTGCCTCGGTAGTCTGATTACGAGTTGTCAACCAGCTTCCAGGGAGCAAGAGAGAGTGGTTGCACAACGACGGCGATGATGAAGCACAAATTCCTCCAGCCATTTGTCACATTTTCATGTGTTTGACCATTTCAATTACATGCTGTCAGCTGGACAGAGAGAGAGGAGAGCAAGGAGTGCTTGCAGAGATGGAGGGCATGCCTTAGAGAGTGCGAGTGACACATGTTACTCTGACTGAGTGAGGGGGGACACATGGCCGACAGAGAGAGAGAGAGAGAAAGAGAGAGAGAGAGAGAGAGTACGAGACAGAAAAAAAAGAGAGAGACTCATAAGGGAGAGAAAGCTGGCAGCAGCAGAGTCGGGGAGGGCGGTGTGGTCGTACAGAGCGCTTTAGAGGACAAGCAAAGGGATATCAGCTATCTGTGACCCCACACCCACCCCATCTGCCCACGAGAAACAAGACCTATTAATAACCTGCGGACGGATGGGGGAATCAGGTGGACTCTCCTCTGGAAACAGGCCGCGTAACGAAGGCTGTAATAGCAGCATGTGGTAATAATGCTGGTGGTGTAGCGATACAAAAGCGCTGCAGGATTTCTGTCCGAGAAAACGCCACCTAGCTGATTGACGGCGCGCGAGAAAAAAAAAAAAATTCTGCACTGAGCCGAGATCCTTCAAAATACAATTTGAGATTTATGAAGGCTTTCTGCTGTTTGACAAAACACAAATGCAGCTGTCTTTTGGGTGACAATAAACTTAAACAAGCAAGCAGATAAACTACATGAAGTGACCTGCAGAGGATTATGCTTTGGCAGTTGTTGGATTTTTTTTTTAATTTTAATTTAAGTTTGTAATTTCTAAAATGTTCATATTTTTAAAACAAAACTAGTTGACTGTTTAGCTTCCACAAAAATATTAATCCAGACATTTGTATTTAAAAAAAACTGTGGTGTATTTTCAAGTTAAACGCATCGCTCATCCTTACCCAACGTTACTTTTTAGAGACCAAACTTTGCTTTGACTAAAACTACAGAATCAGCTCCTGTTTATGAATGATCACCTCTGTTTTGAATTTCAGTGAATTATATGAATTCGATTTTTGGGCAAAGTTGAATTACATTTATTTAGACGGTACCAAAGTCCACATTCAGGGTGTCAAGGCTGGTCCGTGGCAGTACAAAGAGACACAACCAGAGCAAAAATGATGGCTCCCGATTCTTTCTGCACAAACTGTGAGATGATTTTCAACTTCCTGGTAAAGGTGAGTGGATAAAATGACTTAGTTCAGGGTAGGAAAACATTTTGTATCATTCCCATGTGAAAATATCCTGTTACTGCTGGATTACTGCCTCTCACCACGCTTCAAAATAAACTAAAGGAGATACTTAACATTTGACTTTCAATGCTGTGCTGGATGGAAAAAGAGTCATTTTCTAACTTGTTCCTGTTTTACCACCAGGTCAGTCTGATTATCCGCAAAATTCAATCAAAGACAACGGTAGAGGATACCAGGGATGGACCATTTCTTTGTTAAATATCCTTTCCCCCATGAAAGGTATGATTTAAACAGGTTTTGTTTTTATGTGTTATACGTTTAACATGAGTAAAGTTAAAAATCAAGCCGTGACGTTCTCCAGACTGATTATGCAGCACAGTGTTATTTGTAAGAAAAACACCATTCAGGGTTAACGTGCACAATAATCCAAGGCAAACAGAGCAGAATAAACGTCAGGGATCTTCATCAACAAAAGTTTTTCTTGTTTCATTTTGGATAACATCTCTAATTTTGTAAACCCCCATGTTATCTGATAGAGGATAGGATTATTTTAGTTTAAAAAAAAGAGGAGGCTGGGAGAATATTTGCGACTGAAATGCTTGATAAAAGACATTTTAAAGGATTTCCTGGAGCAGATGCTCTATACTTGATCCGATCATTTCCCGATCAGTTTCCCTCTCCTCCTTTACTCCTCTGCTGTAGTCACTCATGTTGTTTGCTTCTGAGCTGTAAGGTTAAACCTGTGCTAACACGGGACATTAAATAGTCCAATCCATCATGGGAAAATGAGACAGCAGGCCTCCTCTCCCCCCCACCTCCCCACCGTCTCTATCTTTACTCGCTGCACCGTCTCCCCGCTCCTCCGTTACAGTCGGCTCTTCAGCCCCAACGCACTCACACACACTTAAAAGTCCAATTCACTGCAAACTTCTCCACATAGCAATCCTTTCTTTATTATTCTTAGCGAACAAGGGGGCCCTTCAGAGCCTATGTAATTTATCCAGAGTCTAATTTTGACACAAAAATAAGTCCAAAAATGAATCGATTGGAGTGAGAAGGTCGCTGCGGTTTGAAACCTTCGAGCCTCAGGCCTTCCTGCGGAGCCCCAATGTGGAAAAGGGGGCCGGGGGGTCGTGAGGAGGCCCTTTCAGTTCCGCGTCTGTTTGACACGAGGGAAAACAGAGATCCATCAGTAGGACCATTTATAAACCCAGCATTCCTCCACTTTGTTCCCCTCTCAGCAATTTGCTGGTTTATAGCTTTGGAATATTTCAGCCTCATAGCGCTCAAACAATTTGAGAATCCCTTGTTTTTATTTATTTTTTTAATGGCATTTTAGGAACGAAAGCTAAAGAAAATATTCAGCATACGAGGAAGACGGGATGTGGAAGCTGACTGATGTACCACAACTGTTTATAGTTGAGGCTCTTACATCGTCCCGTTGCGTAACACTGGGTAAACAGCCGAGGAGGATGAGGAAGAAGGCACTTTCACATGACTACGTGAAAATGTTGATGTCACTGATCTCTTCAAGCTGACACTTTCCAGCTTGTGGCGATTTCACGTGCATCATTTGTGATCGAGCTTTAAGAATGGGAAAATGAATGTGAGTGTTTTTTTTAATTTTTTTTTTTTTTTTATGAAGTTGTTGATTTTAAACCAAAATATTCTGCAACTTTTAAAGGTTTGCAAGAAGTGTCCCGCCTCCTGGTTGATGCCCCATTCCTTGCTCATCTGCTCCGTTTCCTCAAATCGTCACTGTGTCTTCCTGGAAACAAGATGGAGACGCCATCACCTGCAGCTCCTCTTCCTGGTCAGTGCTCGTCTCCACCTGGACCTTCATTTGAAACGGCACAAAACCTCAAACAACAGCCACTCACCTTTTCTCCTTGAGAGCCTGGACCATTATCTCACTTCTGGCAGTTTCAACTTCTAGTAAAAAAATTTTTTCAAACTTTTCCTTAGCGTGAAGGTAATTGCTGCTAATACTAGAGTTTCAGTTTCATTTGTTGCCACTGAGAGCTGCACTTAGTTCATGTTTGTCTCATAAAGAATCGGCATCAAAGTTCTCCAAAAAGTTACTACCATCTTTATTTAGTGGAGGGTTTTTATGATTGTCAAAAAACAGTGGTGCTTAAATTGTTCTGAGAATTGTTAAATGCTGAGCTTGGTGCTGAAGTAACCAATGCCACAGCTACATTGTAAAGCAGCAGTGTTGAATTATGATAGCAAGCTTTTGGGAAACCTCTGACTCAGCAGGCTGAATTTCCGCCCTCAGCTCGATGTTGCAGCTGACTTCCTTTCTTCCCCCCAAAAATGTTCTGAGTACTATTATGATGGTTTGTATGCTTACACAGAAAGTTATCCTTCTAGCTTTAGATGGATTCACCCAAGACAGAAATCGCACATGCAAATAGACAAGCTACAGATAGACAAGCAAACGCAAATGCACGCATGAATCATCTGGTAAAAGACGCCTTTGATTTGGTCCCAAGTGCTACAGCCACAGGGCTGTGTGTTTTCCTAAAAGCATCGAAATCATTTAAAAAAAAAACCACACACACACACACACACAAAACAGGAGCGCTAAATTACTGTCACTCAAAGAGTTTCTTTCTTCCTCTCCCTGTCTCCTTTCACCTTTCCTCCCACCAGCCCCACAGTCTCCAACTCTTTCCTGCTTCCACCAGCAGCAATGGGGGCTTTCTCTTGTTTCCTGGTGCTGGCGCTGCTGGATAAACACACAGCCTTCCTCCCATATAAAGGCTCAATTCTTCTCCATCGTGCCTTAAATATGGATACAAAGAGAAACTTGTATGATAATTTTTGGCATATGGTGGTGGGGGTCAGCGGGTGGGTTGCGTGTGTGCGTGTGTGTGTGGAAGGGGGCGTAGGGCTGGCTAGACAAAGTTTTGCCTTGTTCTGATGCTTGTCTAAACTTTCAAGGTTTTTGTTTTATGCAGGATCAGACCGATGCCATCTGACGGACTGGCTGGAGGTGCGTTGCTCGAGCAAGTCTGAAAGCGTTCGGTCCAACGAACGCTCGGCTCCCTTCAGTCTTGCGCTGATAAGTGGCGTCACGGTACGCTGCCTGGATAAAGCGCCGCTGTCATGGAATGAGGTGTCGAGTGGAAAAGCTGAGCGAGTCGAGATTAAATGAAAACATAATTTGCCAAATTTAATCGAAGGAGGTCACTGGACTATGTGGAGCAACAGATCTGTCTTTCATCTTTGATTCTGAGACGCGGCCACAGAAACGGAGCCAGCTGGAACATGCCGGAGATGACACGAGTACCCTGAATGATTCAGATGGCCTGCTGATAGCCGGTAGATCACCTTACTGCGCCGATGCCAGCAGACAAGCAGCAGCTACAGGCCTCAGAGGAGAGAGGCATTCCCCCTCCGTGGATACTTGAAGACTGACAGCTTGAGGTGGTTCAATAAAGTGGCTCTTAATGTTAAAATAAATTAGCTCTAGGTCCTTTTTAAGCCACATGGGGTATCAATTTCCTATCAGTTTTACTTTGCAAGGTGCTCCAACTTCTACCTACTCCTTGTTATTAATATACAGAGATTGCTCAGTGATGTCATGTAGTAAGAATATCCTGCAATATAAGTTCTATAGATAGTTACTCAAAATGAATAAAAATAGACACTGTTTGTACCTGCTGCATGCTTTTTATTGGTCATCTTCAAATTTGATCTGATTGTAAGTAGGCACAGGTGGGTGGAGTACATGAAAATTGTACCTAAGTAAGAGTAGCACTACTTCAGCATATTTTTGCTCAACTAAAAGTAAAAAAAAAAAAAAATAGCCAAACAAGAAATTACTCAAGTAAAAGTAAAAGAAGTATTTGGTAAAAAAAAAAAAAAAAAAAAAAAGGCCCAAAGAATGGGAAATTTGTTAAAACGCACCCCGGA